CCTCCTCCCACCTCAAGCCCCACCCCATCTCCTACCTACTAGCCTCATCCTGCCCCCTTGACCTGTCCGTCCTCCCTGGACTGACCTATCCCCTCCCTAACTCCCCACCTACACTCACCTTTACTGACTCCACCCCTGCCTCTTTGACCTGTCTGTCTCCTCTCCACCTATATCTTCTCCTTTATCCATCTTCTATCTGCCTCCCCCTCTCTCCCTATTTATTTCAGAATCCCCTTCCCCTTCCCCATTTCTGAAGAAGTGTCTACGCCCGAAATGTCAGCTTTCCTGCTCCTCTGATGCTGCTTGGCCTGCTGTGTTCATCCAGCTCTACACCTTGTTATCTCAGACAAAAATTGTACACAGTTTTCCAGGTGTGGCTTCACCAATGTCCTGTATAATTGCATCAAGTCATCCTTATTCCTGTACTCAAATCCTCTTACTATAAAGGCCGACATACAATTTGCCTTCTTTACTGCCTACTGTACCTGCACACTTCCATTCAGCAACTGGTACATGAGGACACCTCGGGCCCATTGAACATTCCCCTCTCTCAATTAAAGTAATAATTTACCTTCCTATTTTTATTTCCAAAGTGGATAACTTCACACTTTCCCACATTACACTGTATCTGCCATGTATTTGCCCACTTGCTCAGCCTGTCCAAATCACACTGCAACATCTCTGCACCCTCCTCTCAGCTCAGGCTTCCACTCAGCTTTGTGTCATCTGCAAGTTTGGAGATACTACATTTAGTTCCCTCATTGAAATCATTAACATATATTGTGAATAGCTGGGTACTGATTCTTAGTACTGAACTTGGTGGTACCCCACTATTCACTTCCAGCCATTCAGAAAATGACCAATTTATTCCTACTCTTTGTTTCCAGTCTGCAAACCAAATTTATGTCCATCTCAGTATACTACCCCCATCCCATGTGCTTTAATTTTATACATTAATCTCTTATGCTGTTTTTGATTCTACGACTGATTTCTTAGTGACCTGCTATAAAATCCTTGATAATAGACTCTAGACTTCCACACACATGACAGAAAAAGACCATTCTCTGCAGGGATGATAAGATTTAAAAATTAAAGGTAAAAGGGAGAAAAACCCTGTGTTCTAATGTTCTGCCACCAAAGAATAAAATGTGATGACTTCTCATGTGCATTGGATTGCTTGCTGATAAATTACTAACAGTCATAGACTGTTGGGACATGTTCTGCTCTGACTGAAGTTAACTTGGGTTTGAGTTTTTGTGGTATGGAAACAGTCCATCTCTTCTGGTTTTAGCAGGCAGATAGAAAGATTGACATTTGGCAACACTTATAACGTTACCAGGAACTTCTACTGAGATACAGGATTTTAGGAGAAAGGCTTGCAACTTCTGGGGTGTCCTTACTTTGACCTCTGTGTTTGTGAAAAAGACCAGAAATGGTTGAAAGGCAATATTAGCATATGGGTCCCCTAGTCCTTTCAATGCTGAGTTTCTTTTTCCCCAGCACTTTCTTTTTGTTATCTGCTTTCTCTGAAGTCACTTTTTTTTTGCACACAGCACATGATAAAACTATTGGGTTCATTTCCAACAAATTACATGGTTAAAAACTCTTATCAATTCAGAAAGCACCCAAATAATTCAAGATGGTCGTTAAATGTGAAAATATGTTCCTAACACTTTTCTTGCTCTTTAGAAATAAAACTTAATTTGTCACAAGTGCAAAAATGCTGCTGAATCAAATGTGAAATAAGGGGCTTCTACTGGAATGGTAAATTTGCCAGACCTGCTGACTATTTCCAACATCTTCTGTTTGCATTTTCTGTTAAAATGCAACTCGCAGCTGTCTGGTGCTCATGCTAAATTATTAGTGAAGAACCAAATCCCTCCCTTTCAGCAATTGTCCCTGTTAAATGGGACTCAGTCTGTTATTCTTCATCGAACCCTGTTCTTCTGTGTTTGTGCAATTCACCGACGCCGTGCAAGTCAACCAACTTTGGTTAGTTTCGATTTCTTTGACGTGAGGCGAGCCCGAACTTTAGTCATTAGCTTTCGGCTGTGAAAAGGGCGTGAGTATCTGGATGGAAGTACCGAGGAATCGAAACTCAGCGGCAGCAGAGAGGTGATTGCCTTGTTGGCTTTCAGTGCCTTTCAGTGAGAGCGGTGGAAGGGAATGAGAAAGAGTTGCTTCTGTGATCAGGTACAATATTTGTAAAGGGTCAGCCGACCCCATTGATGTTCCTCTACTTAAATCTGTTTAATTGCATGAGAGTCAGCACAACATCGGGGGCCGAAGGGTCTGTACTGTGCTGTACAGTTCTATGTTCAAATACTCACTGTTTTAAATCGACTGCTTAAAAGAGAGGGTTGCTTGCGTATATCTCTGAATATGCTTATTTTCCTTCCAGCACTAATTAAGGGGAGCGACCGAAAAGAAATGTGAAATATTATGTAAAATATATTTCCGTTTGTTTTATTTTTCCGATGACAGATGCCCCAAAGTTCGCCCAATCGGGTGTACGATTAACGTCATCCTTTGTCTTCGTGTTATATAATCTGAATTACCTACATGTTGTGACATACATTTATAGATGTAATAATATGAATTTATGAAAATAGTGTGCGACCTCAAACCAAAGTTGGGTTTTTAAGTTTTGGGATGGGTCCTACCTTTATGCCGGAAGCCTCTTCAACGATAAGAATTGGTGTCACCGGTGCCCTTAAAGTAATGAAACATTTCGAAGCGGCGTCTTAAAAAATATGAAATGGATCCGGACTGCGTAAGGAGATATTGGGTCAGATGACTAAAAACGTATTCTGGAAAATAAGTTTAAAGTGTGTCACCTCGAAGGATAGTGACGCAGGGAAAGAATTCCAGCACTTAGCCAACTGAAGACACGGCCACCGATGGGTTAAAACGAGGGGTGCTCCAGAGGCTGGAATATCTGGGATAATAGGTCATTCCAGTGGTTTACACTTGCAGCGTTAAAGGGCGCGTTGCAGTCTGTAAAACATATGGAGTCTACAGTGCTTGTTGAAAATATGACTAATAAGGTGTCACTATAGTCACAGGCATAGCAAATAGTCACAAGGCACTTCCTCAAGCGTTTAATATACAAACATTTCACTGAGTTCGTCTCGAGTAATGCAGCTGTAAAACTTCTAAATTTGCTTTCCCAATCTAGGACATAGGAACTGGAATAGCTCACTCAGCTCAAGTTTGTTCTACATTCAGTTGGATCATGATTTACCTGTTCTTCCTGCAGATCCTGCTGAGGGTGGTGCGTGTATGGAATGAGCTGCCATTCTAGAGGTAGTGGTAGGGGCTGGCACAATTACAACATTTAAAAAGCATCTGGATAGGTATGTGAATAGGAGGGGTTTATAGGGATATGGACTAAATGCTGGCAAATGGGACTAGATTTATTTAGGATATCTGGTCGGGTTGGACCGAATGCTCTGTTTCCATGCTATACAGCTCCATGGCTCAGTGAGGCTGGGGCTATTTTCCCTGGAGTGTCGGAGGCTGATGGGTGACCTTGTAAAAGTTTGTAAACTCATGAAGGGCATGAACAGGGTGAATAGACAAGGTCTTTCTTTCCCAGGATGTGGAAGTCCAAAACTAGAGAGCATAGATTTAAGGTAAGAGGGGAAGGTTATAAAAGGACCTAAGGGGCAACTTCACACGCAGGGTGGTGCGTGCATGGGATGAGCTGCCAGAAGAAGTGGTGGAGCCTGGTAAAATTATGACATTTAAAAGGCATCTGGATGAGTTTATGAATAGAAAGGTTTAAAGGGATATGGACCAGATGAAGGCAAGTGGGATTACCTGTAGATTAATTTAGGATATCTGGTCGGCACGGATGAGTTGGACCGAAGGGTCTGTTTCCGTACTTTACATCTCTGTGACTCTATTAATAACCTGACCAACAAACTCATCAGTCTTGAAAAATTCTACTGATCGAGGATGCACAGCATATTGGATGGGATAGTCTATGTAGGCATGGATAGTAGATTTTTGGTCTACCTTGATCATTTTGGGCTGTTTTCACATTTTGCAAACAAACATAAAAACCAACAAGAGTCGATTCAGCCCCTTGAGCCTGCTCTGCCATTTAATAAACACATTGTTGACCTGATTGTGCAGTTTTACTCCCTAAAACTTTTCACTTCTTGGAAAATCAAGTATCCATCTGTTTAGAGAAATGCATTTTTACACTGTGACTTGCCACTGACATGTGACATCTAGCTGCTTTTCTGAATGGAGGCATGAAGCCAGAAGCCATTAATGTTAACACATGGAGCATGCATGAGAAGGGTGCAATTGAAATTTCATTGACTTTGAGAGCTGCAAGAAAGCCAGATACTGCAAATAATTAATAAAAAATCAAAATCTTCAATCTGCAACTTTGTATTAGTGGGTGAATTGATACAGCTTGGCATTTTCAAGTCATACAGATATATGAACATAGGAGCAGAAGTAGACCATTCGGCCCCTCAAGTCTACTCTGCCCATCTGTAATGTTATTGCTGATCACGCTTTGTGTTTCAAATTCCGCATCCCATCTATATTTGATAACCTTTGATGCCCTTGCCTAACAAGAATGTGCCCATCGCTGTCTTAAAATTTTTCAGTGACCCTGCCTCCATCACCTCCTGAGGCAGAAAGTTCCAAAGTCACATCACTCTTAAGAGAGAAAAAGAACATTTTCCTCATTTCTGGAGACCCCTAATTTTAAAATAGTGTCTTTAGTTCTGGACTGACTCACAATAAGAAATATAATTTCTGCATCAACCTTATCGAGACCACTTTAGTCAAGTTGCCTCTCATTCTTCCAAACTCCAGTGGAAATGAACCCAGCCTGTCTAACCCATCTCTATAAGAAAATCTGCTCATTCCAAGTGTCAATTGTCCTTAAATATGGGGACCAAAATTGCACACAATATTTGAGATGTGGTCTCACCAATGCCTGGTATAACTGAATCATAACCTCCTTATTTTTAAGTTCAATTTCTCTCATAATATAGGATAGCATCCCATTAGCCTGCTGGTTATGTGCTGTACCTGGATGCTAACCTTTCGTGACTCATGCATCAGAACATCTGAACCCTCTGCACCTCAGAATTTCTCGGTCATTTTCTGTTTAAATAATACTCTGCCTTTTAATTCTACCTACCAAAGTGAACAACTTCACGTTTTCCCATATTATTCTCCAAGTCTTCATTTTTGTGCACTCACCCAAACTAATTATTTCCAGCTGCAACACTGTTATGTCTTCCTCATAACGTACTTTCCTACCTATCTTAGTGTCATTTATGAACTTAGCTACCATGTCTTCACTCTCCTCATTCAAAAAATTGATGGAAATTATAAAAGTTTGAGGCCCTTGCGCAGACCTCTGCAGGGATCTATTGATCACAACTTTATACATCCTCTGTTTTCAGTTAGCCAGCCAATCCTCCACCCATTTGTTACTCTCTCCACCATTAGCTTTTATTTTCTTCAATAACCTTCGATGTGCTACCTTATCAACTTGCCATCTGGAAAACCAAGTAGATTACATCTTTCGGGCTTCCTCATTATCCACACAGAATGTTATTGCTTCAAAGAACAGCAACAAATTGGTTAAACACAGTTTTCCTCTTTGATGAATCTAAGCTGATTCTTTGCAATGACCTTGAATTGTTTGAAGTGCGCAGTTATAACCTTTTAAGAGATTGATTCTAACATCTTTCTCATGATAGACATTAGACTAACTGGCCTATAGCTTCCTATTGTCCCTTCTTGAATAGACAAGTTACAATTTCTGCTCCTATGGTGCTGAACAGTGACATGAGACAGAATTGGAAATTCTTACATTTTCAATTACCTATTTTGAAAACACTGCTAATATTATTTATGAGTCTATGTGTTTAATCCTAAAAGTCAGGAAGAGAAGGAGAATAGTGTTTGGCGTTTGACTGCACTGCTACAGAGTGGAATCTTTTTGAGTTTGGGCATCAGAGATAGGATGATCTTAGGAGTAAGAGATCCCACAATGAAAGTGTAGCTGCTGAGAGAATAGAAACTTACTCTTAAGACAGCTATTGACACATGTAGAGATTATTAACCATGAGGTGGAGAGTATTAATTAGTGAACTGACAAGGCTTTGCATTATGATAAGAAAAGGTCAGAACCTATCAGGGATCACACAATGGAGAAAAGGAAGAAAGGTTTCAATCCGTGCCAGCAAAAACATCAAGATGTAAATATTTACTGTTTATTCCCATTTCTCCAATAAATTGTAATAGGGATGTGTGGCCTTAGGTAACCAGATGTAACTCCCTTTATTAGTCACATCTCAGGGCCCCTACCAACTGCCCCAGTCTAGGGAATTACTGACTCTCCACATGTGCTCCATTTCCTCTAACATAGGGTACAGGGGGAACTCTGATGTATCCTCCTCTAAATCAGAATTGGTCTCTCGCACCATGGGAGGGGCTGATCCCATACCAAGCTTTCAACACTTCTTCCACAGGGAATACATAACACTGGTGGTGATAGCAACTATTTCAGCTCTATCTATGCCTGCATTCAATAAAGCAGCAAATGTCTCATTTTGACTGATTTTTCTTCTTTCGCTTCCTGCCTTTTCCCGGTGTACACTTTACTCCACTCTCCTGCATCACCGGAATTTTAGCTTGGCTTTCTTCAACATCTGCTAACTGTCCTAACATTACAATTCACCTGCTGCTCTGCCCAGAGTTGGCCCCAACAATGGTCTGGTCCCTGGAAGTTGTTGGTATAACAATCTTGTTACATAGCTAATTTTCACAATAGGGCAGTTCCCTCTGGGATGGTATGCTATGGAACAGTTTCCTGCTCCCACTCCATGGAGTTCTCACTGCTGCGCACATCCATGCAGCCAATGTTCCTGTCCCCTGGACCCCATGTACGGCATTGTTGGTGGCTGAATGTGGAGACAAGACTCCCATTCTCTGGAGTTCCTCATTAGGGAGAGAGACACATTGATGTTCTGAGTCCCACAGCCAGGTTGTTCAAGCTCCCAGTGACTCCCCTGCTTTCTGACGGAATATTTTTCCCAAATCCTGCAATTCTGTCAGTGTGTAATTCCACACAATTCGAGTTAACTGCGGAGCCCGATGGCCATACCTTATTAATTATTAACGGACATGCTAGGGGTACATTAACATCACTGGCTTCTCCTTCCCCAGCTGTCCACTTCTATTCTGAGTTGGATGAATACCAAATATCCCCGTCCCATTGATCGGGATCCCAACCGGCTGAAGCTAATAAAGAGCATACTTTAGCTGGATTCACTGGGGTCCTCTTGCGGTGCAGAGGTAGAATCCCTACTCCTGGACCAGATGGCCTGGGTTCAAGTCCCATCTGCTCTAGATGTGACATCTGTGAACAGGTTGATTAGAAAAATAGGTTGATTTTTAAAAAAAAAAAGTAGCTGGATTCACTTTCCAGTTTCTTGGCTTGCCCATTTTGTGTGCTCAACTGTGACCAATGTGCGGTCTACGCTAATCAGTTTCTCCTCGGCTTTATCTGCCCATTCCTGAGTAGTCTGAGCCACTGTCACACCAGCGTAATATTCTGCTGTGGCCAGAGACCCAGTCAATGTCCCACCCACCTCCTTTCAACCTCACACCTCCCGAGACAGCATGCGGAGCCCAGTTAGCAGAATCCACCCCATTTAGGCGACAACTTTGATTTTCTTGGGGAAGCCCACTTCCTCCAGACAGTCCCTTATGCCTGGCCGTTGTCCCTTAGGACTTAGTGCCAAATCTTTCTCCCAAAATTGTTGGGGCCCTAACTCAGCGAACCCAGTTCGCTAGCCCGTGAAACCATTATTTGATGACCATCTCGGGACACAAAACTTTTCCTTCACTGGGACATTTCATCTTCATTTTGAACATTTTGCTCAGACCCTGCTTGCGGTGCCAAACGTAATGTAAGGC